CCGAATCCTCGCCCATTTCCCCTCTGTTAATATATACGTTGATGCCAATTTAGCTATTACATAAGTGAGTCAGCTGAAAAGGAAACCAGCTCGACTACAAAATGATGATGGAACGCAAGTACAAGTTGGTTAGACGTCTTCAGCTGCGTTGTCAGAAAGTCGAGAAATTGAGAAGCGCATGGAGGGGCAGAGTCATCATTACGTTGATTTGCGGTTCAAAAATGCATGCACTTATTTGCTACTGTTCATGATTGTGGCTGATTTTCCACGAGCCGAATGGGGATTGGCTTGGTCAATTCCCTCAGGACTGACACATTGACAGACTGACCGACTGACTAGTCCTTGACTTGGTGACCCAGTTGGACTTTGTTTTAGCCCCGCCAATAATGTTTGCCCGTTAGATATTTATTTGCTTTGCTTTTCCATTTGGAATTTCCAATTTTTCCGCTGCTCCGTCTGCCATTTATTGCTCTTGAGCTGTTTTCACTTGGGAGCTGGAAGACGACGGGTTCTCCAAAGGTCATCCACTGCAGCACAACAGCAACAATTCCGACTTCATCATCCTTTGCCAGTCATCGGAATCGCCTCCAACTTTCACATTAGCTTGTGTGGGTCGACGTGCTCTATCGTTCATCGTTTATATTATCGGCTCGGCATCAGCATCATCATCATCATAGTCGTCATCTACCCCGTCATCGCTTTTGGGCCATGGCACTGTGTTGGCCTTATCCGCTTGGCCCAATCGCCTCGCCCTCTCGCCTGGCCAATTCCTTTGATTACCGCACCCTTTTCGCTCTTTGTTTAGTCTTAGGTCATCATAAATTGCTTGCTTTCGAGTCAATTATTGATATAGGATTTGCAGCCGTGATTAAGCTGCCTCTTCCTTATTGGCTAAGTGGGTCAGTGGAGTGTGGCCATGCCCGTTTGGGCCTTTGTTTTAGGCCTGCTCTTCGTTACGGCGAAAGTTCAATGCCAGCTCAGTTGCCAGCGCCAAAGGCAACTGCACGCCAAGTGGCCAAGTGCATTAGTTGCCCCATAAACATTGATAAGGCAGCGATAAGGAGCCAGATACCCACTCCAAGACCCATTTCGATCCCATTACGATCCGCATTCCCCGGCAAATTGTAGCACTCATAATTTGTTTTTGATTGCCTGGCACTTTGGCCGCTCCTCGGACCTAAGCAAACCGAAATATAAATCCAAACAAGTGCTCTCTGAGCCGTCTAGGGGACACTCGAAGCGCCGGGGCAAACAAAACAGGACGGGCACACGGGTTTTGGAATGGGGAATCCAGTCCAGACCCTTAGCCCATCTTTTCCTGTCTTGTCGGCATCTTTTGCTCCACACTGGCGCTTCCGTCGCTGCAACGAGAGATGCAAATGGTAAGGTCTGGCCAAATGCGCTTAGAGAAAAATCGAGTCCTAAGCAGGGGAAACTGAATAGCCTAAAAGCACTGAATAAGTGCTTTGAACATTTTTCATTTTCAAATTAATAAGAAAAAGTTATGCTCCTTTCGTAAATTTGTAAGTTTTCAAATTTGATTATTATTTTGATTGTTAAACGTTGCATCTGCAGCACCTTTTTTTGTTGCGTGTAGAATAGAGTGGAGCGGTTCGAGTGTGCTCGAAAGTCTTTTGACAATATTTGCGCGCCTTGACAATAAAACGCAAAGTGAAGTCTTGAGCTGCAGCTCCTCCATCTGCATCCCCAGTATTTTAGTATCTCAGTATTCCTGTATTTGTGTATCTGTGCGGCGGGTCATTTAAATTTCATGGTAAATCAAAAATGCTTGTGTTTATTATTTGTTTTGTGTGCTGTGCCGCGGCCGAGGACTCCGCGGTTCGCTTTTCCTGTTTGTCTTTGGGTTCCAGTTCATTTCAGCCGAGCGGCGATGTCTTTCCTTTTGTTAGCCATGAAGGCGCCCTTTCCCATCCTTCGTCCCTTGCCCCTCCCACTCAGCGATTGCCGGCGGCATCCTTTGTGGGCTACACAGGATGTCGATTACATTTGTTTACTGCACTCGGCGCACTATAATTTCCCCCTCGCTTAATGAACAGGTGCCCCTGTTGTTGTCTCTGCTGGAACTGCATCCGTACTTAATTAGCCCAGTGCAGTGTGCACTGGAACCCAGAGACATCGGGGACAAACATGGCCATCCAACGCCGCACAAATCCAGCATTTGTGGCTTTTAATCTCAAAAGCGCATCGCCAGATTTACGCTCAAGACAAGATCAAAGCGTCAACTTAGCATTCAGCAGCCCACCAATCAGATGAACTGCGAAATCCACTCGAGATGCAAGTGAATATCTGGACTGCTTCTCTGGAGTCCACATCCCCTAGTTAATGCCACGTGATTTGCATTCCATTCAGATGTTGCAGTGATTTTTCAGAGAGTACAGACTTTCAAGGATAATTATATATTTACATACAATTTAACAAGCACGTGTAGTAGTTAGTTAGTAGTTGTTCCTAAACCATCTTACTTTGTCTGAAACTGAATCTCTTGACGCAGATGTAAATTACCTCAACAATGTTGCAAAAGATATTTAGCCAAGTTAAGACCCAAAGCATGCATCTCGGTAACCACTCTCAGTCTAAAGATAAAAAAGCGATAATATTTTAATGACTAGGACTCCGATCGCAGGGATCGTGGGTGTCGGTGGAGTGGGATTTCAGGCATTACTCAATCAGCGGGCCATAAATGCAAGCTGATTAATGCAGCTGCCTGTCCGACGACAAGTGCAACATTTCCGGTGACAATGATGGGGACTTATGGTACGCTGAAAAAATTTCTCTCTACTATCTTGAATGCATTTTGGAATGGATTTCCTTGGAAATACAGGTTGGGCACCTAATTGAGTACAGAGCGTTTCCAGAAAACTGTTAAGCAAACACAACTTGAAGTTTTCACTCGCGCTGAAAACAATTTTTTTACGTGCAGCTTGGGCATGTTGCTGAAGTTGTCGGCTATGTAGACGACGTCATGCAGTCTGCGGATCACGGAGTAGCAATCAAACAGAGGCCACATTTGGGGTCCATGACAAGGACAAGTGTCAAAACGCAGGTTGCACTCATTTAAATTGGCATGATTTACGTTTGCCCCCACCAGCAAGCGACTGCTTGGCATCGCATCGCCTGTCATCCATGTGGATGCAACTGTGGCAATATGGCAAATTCCAACAGCACTTAACAAGCCGCAGCCGAAGGAAATGAGAAACAGCGCAGACAAGTCGCTGACATGGCCAAAGGGACTTATCCGGGAACGGGCAAGGGGGCCTGTAAACTGAGCGCTGGGCGATCCCATCCGATCCGATCCGGATTCCTGAGTGGGCATCAAGTCGGCGCCGCCTCATGTTGCCATGTTCATCGCCAAGTCACCTCCGTCTTCTCAGCCATTTGGTGTGCATGCAAAGTGTTGAATAATTTGTTGCGAAATATTTCTAGATGCACAATGTCGGCGATTCCATTGCACCCAGCAAAGTCGTCGGTTTGGCTTTAAAATAGCTTTTAAAAGTAAACTTTAGGGTGCACAAAAATGTAAATACTTTTATTTTTCTGTTGTAAACTTAAACCTATCTGTATCTAATAGCTAGCAGCATTTTGTATGTATTTAGGCTTTTCTCTACGGGCACTTCACAAGTATTTTTGTCGGGTGCCCCGCGGCTTCGATGGCTTCTGGCCTTGCTGCTAGACCGGCTTGTTAGGCTGCAACATGCTGTTGCAACGCCGGCGACTGCAACAGCGACTGCAACTGCAACTGCAACTGTTGCGTTGCTGCGTAATTAAGTGGGCGACAGTCTGGTAAATGCAAATTTCTTGGCCTTGTCGCACTGCTCGCCGCAGGACATGGCCAAATTCAGATGCTGGCGACCGATATGGCCGATAGGGGGTTTCTGTTGCTGCTCTGCATCGGCTTGTAGACGGCGATAAGCGCTCGCCTATGATCTATGATCCTGACCTTGGCTGGCAGATCAGAATGCGCATACGCAATGTTGCACATTCTTAATTAAAATGTCAAAACTGGTTTAATGGCGTTAATGAACGAACAGCACTCAGTTCGTTAGTCTTGAGGTTTGACAATATTGCTTGGATTCCTGGGATTCCTTCGGTTCGATGTTCAAGGCTTGCGATGTTCTGGCTTTTGATCTGCCAGGCGATCTGGAATTTGATTTATCGTTAGATTTGCTGCGTTTACAAACAAATGCTGCCGCCGCCAGCGCCGTAAAATGGAAAGTTTTTCCGTTGCTTTGAAAGTTTGCGTAGTGACGGTTGATTTATAGAAATCAGAGCCTGGTCTTGCAGCCATTGTTAAGTTCGTTATCGTGTCTGCAAAACTGTTAACTGCGCTATGCCGAGTTATGGCACACAATTGGTAAGACAACCCAGCAGTGGATGTCTGATCATGGATATGACATAACTAAGCGCTAGCTGATTAGTTATTAATATCGATCTGATTTTTTCGATGAAACATTTAAGGACTTGTAGTTTTGTTTATTTTTCACCCATCTTCACTCTTTTATTAGTCTTAAATGTTAATTTAATTCATTGCATTCCCTTCTTTTCAAAGCAGGCGCCAGTGCAGCACAGACACACTTGCCAAAACTTCTTAGATGTTTCCAAGCGCATTTCGCAACCCAACGTTATAGAAAATATAAAGTGTTAGACCTCTTGATATATCCACACAAGATAATCAAGCTTAAGAATTAATAATCTCCATGTTACAAGACAGATCCAAGTCATTTTTCACAGTGCACCAAGCCCAAAACCCGACTCTTGGGGTTTCCCTTGTCTGCAAAGTTGTGTGATTTATTTGGGCGGCTCGGGTGTTTTTTGCTCTTTGTGCGCCGCGCTTTTTATTACGGCCCAGTTTTTATTATTTTTATTGGCGCGCACTCCAGTGGTTTTCGCCGGAGTGCAGGAGTCCAGCTGGAGGAGTTGCAGGCCCATGACGCACCACCCTCACCACTTCCCTGAGGCTGTAAAGTGAACTGCATTGGGTGTATGGATATGCATATCCAGGCAGGCACACCCGAATATGTGCATTTATTATTTTACTTGGCTTGCTTGCATTTTGCAACAACGATCTGTAGACACAATAAATTACCAATTATATTTTCATTTCATATTTCTGTCATTGATTTCGCTTCCAGAGTGAGGCTCCATACTCAATGAAAACAAACGGGGGATGACTGCTCCGCCCTTTAAGTCAGGCGAAATTCATATCCACTGGAAAAGCCGTTCATTTCATCAATCAACAGACAAATTTGTATAGCTTCTAAAATGGTTTCGAAAAGGACACAGAAAATTTTACAAATTAAATTAAAATACATTGGAGTATTTCAGTATCATACGGTTTACATTTCATTTTCTAATCTTTTCAATTTCAATGCATATATCACTGCAGTGATAATAGTAAACAAAAACATTGCTAAAATAAATAGGGATTAAAAATACGCTTTCTATTGTTAAGACGGCTGGCTCACCCGCTACTATAAAGTGGAGAATATAGAGCAACTTCTCGCTATCGATCACTATCATAATATATACGATAGTTAATGCAATATTTAGCGGAATCCCTATAGCCACCGAAGTCCACAAGAGACATAACGTGCTCTAAAAATTAAAAAGGATCAAAATAAAATGACTAATACACGCATCTTCACTTACATAGATTGCCCCAAGCAGAAGCAATATTCCAAACAAAATTGCAAAGCAATATATCCCAATCTCCGCTTTATTGTATGTGGTAATGGTCTCTTCTGTGCAAAATGATACAACTTAGATTAAATCGTTATGTATTGTAAAGTATACTTACTGGAAGCTCTCAATGAAATTAAAAGGATATATATTAATATTGTGCCGATGCCCGCAAAAATGACGTCAAATCGACTGGGACTTAATATATTACACATTTTGCTTCTTTTATCAGTTTAGAATCTTATACTGAACGTATTATACGTAATATTGAATTATTGAAATGTTACAGAAAACTCAAAGAACAATAAAAAAAATTTTGTTCATTAACATAAGGGGATATATCAAAAACAATAACATTATATTTTTCTTTTTAATTACATCAAAATGTTTATATTTCTTCGCTCAGCTAAATGGGCTAAATCTCGAAGTGCAGTCTTAACCGTAAACCAAAAACAAGTCATTCAAAATGTATATTTTAATTTACATACAAACAAATTTGTATAGCTTTAAAAATGGCCTCAAAAAGGACATACATTGCAATTTTTCAGTCAAAGGCACCTCACCAGGTATATACCGATACGGTCTTCCATTGCACTTCTTGATCTTTTTAATTCCAATGCATATATCACTGATATGTAAACCAGATACAAACCGAAACCTAAAACAAAGCGGGATTTAATGCTTACACTCTATTTTTTAGGTCGAGTGACTCACATGGAAAAATTATTAAAAAGGTAATGGTGTATACTTTCTCCAGCTCTTTGATAAACTCCCATTCTCTGCACAACTTGATTATAAATACGATGGTAGTTGAAACAAATACCGGAACTATTATTGCCACCCAAGTCCACACAAGAAAGCGGTTATTCTAAAATCAAAAAGTATCAAAATAAAATGCTTAAGATACGCATCTTTCAAATACCAAGATTGCCCCAAGCAGAATAAATATTGCAGCTAAAATTGCAAAGCTGCCTTCCCCAATTCCGATTTTGTGGTATATGTTAAAGGTTTCACCTGTGCAAAAAGATAAGGATTAGAATTTAACTTTTTAATTTATGTATTTAAACGTATATTTACGGGTAGACACATATGTAATAATAAAAACACTAAGTATTAATATGCCGATGGCCAAAATACCGAGTTCTAATCGACTGGTAAGTTTCCCACGAAAAAAGTTGCACATATTCCTATTTTATTGGTTTAGAAGGAAAATGTTGTTTAATTTAACCAAAAACTCAATGAATTGATGATTCGTAGAAGTAACCCAACTTATTAAGATCAAGAATTAAACATTTTTTTAAGTAAATCAAAATGTTTCCACTTTTTTTCTCAGCCAAATTCATTTCATCTCGCACTTGAATGAAACCTAGTAGTCGGAAAAATGCTGCCTTAACCGTAAAGTAAAACCTCCCCCATAGTTTAGTTATCAGAAAGGAAAGCGCGAAAATCCCTTTGTTGGACTGTTTTTATTTTCGTCTGCAGCCGGGACCGTGTGTATTTATTTCCTTTGACGTTCTATAAGGCCGGCTCTATAAAGATGGCTTTTGTGCGAAGCCTGCCGCCGCATCCCAGCGATTTGGGTATGGAAATCAAAAGTCGCCGTTAAAGTGTCTAGAAAATTGTGCATGCATTAAACAAATGAAACTCCCTTCATCCCGAAGGACGGACAGAGTGACCAAGGGTCGGACCAGGAATCACCCCGGGTCCATGTGCAAATTAAAATGGGAATAAGAGGCGATGTGCGGTATTTTGTAGGGACAGACTTGCAGTTGAGGGTTGAGCATTAAAAGTTAAACCAGACTGGATTGAATGACTTTAGGGAGAGGTTGGGCGATGTTGAAGCCACAAATGCAATCAAAAAATATTTATTTTTTTTTTAAGATTTCTTAGAAACTTATCCAAGCTGATGATGCATTTAGCTAATAATATATTATTAGGAATTGGGCTTGTGAGCAGGGAAACGCTTACTGCACATTAAATATTTCTGCTAAACTCAAGAATAGGATTCCCGGATGGGTATTGAAATGTGAACAATTGCTCGACCTCCTCCTATACGTCATTTACCTGGCCAATTATAAAGTTCGGCTGGAAGTCCAAACTAGCGCTAAAACTACAGAAAAGCCAAAAGGAACGTAATTCAATCTGGGCAGCTCACTTTTTCCGGGCTTTTTTAGAAGCTTACCTTGATGGGTGGTGTAATTATATTCTCCAATTTTCATGGGTCGAGAGGACTCGTGTGCCTCATTTTCTTTGCATATTTTACCATAATTTGCTGTTCTTGTTTGTTCTGCCAGTTGTCCTGGCGAACAAATTGCGAATTGAAAACTTCGAAAACTAACAGCAATTACAGAATTTTACGAAAACCGAAACCAAACGAAACCAAACGAAACGGGTACGAGCCCGAGCCAGAACCCAAAACTTGGGCTATTTGGCTGACTGTGCGTGTAATTATAATTTTCTTTAAGTCGGTTTGCGCAAACTTTCCTTTATGTCAAACTTTCGTCCTGCTGCTCTTTCCATCTCTGCGACCGCAAATAATTTTGTGGAAAAGTTGCCGCTCTCCCCTTTTCACTGAATTACTGAATTTTCCCGATTTTTCCATGTTGTTGGTAATTATGCTCTTTGTGCGACGCAAGCAAACTTTTGGGTACATCGTCTGAGTGTATTAGTTGTAATGTGCTTCGGTTAGCCCAAGGAGGAGCGCAAGTTGCCAAACTTACTGCAACAATAACAAGGAAAACAAGCATCGACGGAGGCAGAGCCATTTGTATTTTGGGAACTTACCTTTCGTTTTGGCCATATCCTTCGGCTAGACAATGTGTCTTATTAGAGGGGCTTGCCAGCGCTAAACTTTCCGGTGATTTTCATTCACCATCATTAGAAGTTTGGCATCAAATTTTCAGCTAATCACGTTGTCGATGAATGGGATTGTAACTTTAAAAGCAGTTTTCCAACTCGCGCGTTCCCTTAATATTTCCATTAGCACCAGCCGGATCCATTCATTTCATTTAAATAGGTCAAGATAAACAGAAGCCAAACGCATGAAAACACTAATAACATTAGATATTTGACTACCATAATTGATCTGCTTACCTATTAAAAACGTCAGATGCAAAATGTGTCCGATTTTGAAAAACATTTCAAAAGAATTCCAGTCCTTGAGTAGAGTGCTTATCTTGAACGCAAATACGAATGCACAGCATATTGGTATGACAAAAATAGAGAGCAACGCAAAATGTATATACTCCTAGAAATAATAGCTTAGCTCAATGTACCACTGAAAAATATTAAGTTAGTACCACATCCGACATCATTTTTATTGTAAAGCCAAAGCCAATGAAAATAACAACCGGAGTAAGGAACATAATATCGTATGTGCTGACCCTAAACACTGGGAGTTACTGAAAATTAACACATTTTTCAAATCGGTATGTATATTTGTCTACCATGTCGCAGCAGCCCTATCAAAATGGATACGAAAGCAAATCCTCCCAGAATCCATAAAAGAGGCGATTTTATTTTACACATTTTTGGAAATTGAAAGATTTTCTTGTCGACACTAAGTTCCAGGCTAACTCTTCCTAGGATTGCATGCAGTCCATTCTTAACCGTGGCAAACGTATCTCTCGCGTATTTTCACCTAATGAAATCCATCCATAGTTCAGTCAAACAAATGAAAACTAATTTTTGCTGCCTGCCACTTAACACCAACTCACGACTTGTCCATTTCGTCTAATGACCAGATATATTCCCATACTGAAGCCGTTGCTGGAGGCTGTGATTTGGCTAACTGCCTCTGCATGATCTCTCGTTGTATGCCTTTTATTGGGTTACTCAATCAAATATGTGATGCGGCAACTCCGGCTATTAAACACCATGCAGGCTAATACATTGCAGTTAATCAATATCAGGTTTTGTAACTAGTATTTTGTTGGGCACAAAGCGGTTCGTATTGATATGTCAATTTACTTAGCGGCAATCGAAAGTCAAATGTATTTAAAAAGATTTTCATTTATAGTAATAAACACAATTCTCCCTGTGCACACTCGTATGTGATATTTGGACCCCATCTCCAATGCACAGCATTCCACTGTGCGATGCTAATTCGAATGCAAGCCCTCGAACATCCTTGAGAGTTATGCAAAGCAGGAGCTGCCGAATGCAAAATGTGTTTTCACTTTTGTTCGTTTATCAAACGGGTGTCGGACTGACTGGCTTGTGGGGCTTGCGGGGCCAGCGGGGCCAGCGGGGGTTTGTGGCAAGGCGCCATGGCTGCAATATGACCAACGGCAACAAATAGCTGACAGTAAAAACGGCCAAGGCGCTGGATACAGCTGAAACCTGAAAAGGACCCGGGGCAAATTCACGACTCGCATATTGAAAACAAACTGCAGTCTGAGCGGAGTGAAGACAGGCACACGTGATGGGGGATATTGTGCGATTGTGTGATTGTGTTTACGGTGTGGCTACATGGCTGCATGGATGTGGAGCGGGCGCAGCTGGCTGAACTCAGAGTCCCTCCCCCATGAAGTGAAGCCAAGTGAAAATGAAAACAAAGTTTAACAAACCGTGGCTAACGAGCTACATTATTAAAACTTCAAAAATGCATAAATTTGCCGGAGACGAATGGAGCGAACTGCAGACTGCGGCATTATAATAATATAATGCATATCCCGGGCAGGCATTTGAAAGTTATTGACACCTCCGCCGCTCTCCGCTCACCGCTTTCCCTACTCCCACCACCCAACAGCGGGGAAAACTCGTGACGTGATCGGTTTTGAGGCTCCTCCGAAGGAAGGTGTTGCAACACAGGCCAGGTTCCACAAAAGCTGCACGATCTGGGCACTGGGCACTGGGCACCCGCTCCCCAATCCCAACCTAGCCCCAATCCCAAGCTGGAACTGCGGATCGAGTTCGCGACTCGGCTGCCAAGTGATTCTGCGCATATTAGTTGGCCATTAGGCGCACACCATTGTCAGCTGAACGAACGGCAGTCGGAGGCGCATTAAAATGCAGGCGGTGTTAAATATTACAAGCGCCCCCTGTTGCAGAAAAGGGGAAAAGGTTTCGCGCTGATTTGCAGCTGCCACTCAAGGGAGGTGGTGGAAGGGGGTGGCAGGGGGTGGTGCCGCAGATCGCGTAGGAGCTTGTGAAATGCATTGGCGACGTGATATGTTAATCTTTGTGGCGAAAACGTGGAGCGTTTCGGATGCGGATGTTTTGCAGACTGAAGAGCACTTGTCGGTAAGACATGGCTTGAAGTGGAGAAGCCTCCTATTCATTCAAATGAATTGAATATATAGTTTAGGATTATCTTAGGACTTGGACTGGACTGGCTAAGTATTTGGCTAACTTCATAGGAAACATTTTGTCCGCAGTAAATTTTGCTCTTCAAAGGCTTGCACTTGGTAACAGCAAACGGCTAACTGAATACTTTATTTAGTGCTTTTGCGCTAATCATGAAGTCAGCACAATGCTAACCCTTTATGTTAAGAAAAGTATCCTTGGCATTCTGCACCACCAAAACGGTGATCTTGGCATCTGGCGTAATGAGTACCTCGTGGTACTTGGTGCGAACTCTCAATAGAGTCAAATTTTGAGCTGGCTCCATTTTGGAGAGGAATGCCTGGCACTTCTCCCGCAAATTGTCATATAGGCAGGCGTACTGCAAGCCATCCTGGCGATCCATCGAGGTTTTAACCGGCACACCCGAGTGATTCATGATCAATATGTCCTCCACGCCGGGTTTCGCCTGCACTTGGCGAAATACTTCCTCCACGTAGCTCTTAGTTCGCTTTGGCTGCGTAATGTTTTGATCCATCAGCTTGGAAGTACAAATATTTGCACACTTACATCTGTATCTGCTTCCTGCATTTTGACTATAGTTTTGCTTCCAAATTTACTTAAATGTAATACTTTTCTTGTTGCAATGACTGCTTGGGTTGCTTAAATTCGTGTTTGTGGCTGTGACATTTGAGCATAAAAATCTAAAAATAGAATTCACTTGCTTGTGTGAGTGAAAACAGTAAATAAATAAGTTGTGCTAGAAGACGATTTTCGGTCCGAAATCAGTTTTGATCTAAGAAACGAATTTGATTAATGTTTTGGTCAATTTCGTTGTAATATGAGCTAAATATTATTTAAAAATTGATGCCGTGACTATTATTTATTTTTAAGAAGTTGCTTCATATTCTTTAGTTAAAATCGCCGCTCGAATTAGCTACCGTTCACATATACATATTTTTATTATTAATTATCTGTAATATATTTATTTTTTGGTACCCAGGGAACAACTCGGGGTCGTACAACTTCGAGTCGACTTGAAATAATAAATGTTAAACATAAATGTATGTATGTATGTATGTATGTATTTATGTATGTATGTATGTATGTATGTATGTATGTATGTATGTAGTGTATGTGTTACTTGCACAAAGTAGTAAAAATTGTCTTAATTAAAGCCTGAAGAATGTTTAACTTACTGTCGGAACACGAAGTTATTGCCGCTTTTGATATTTGTTCAGGAAAAATTTCGTCTTGTAGCCCTATAATTCCCAACTAGTTCTAGCGCGGGCGGTAAGGCATGTCTGCTAATTTCGAGTCGAAAGTAGTCCAAGTCATCCTCTTGTCGGTCGAGCAGTGAATGTAGTGTATGTGTAGTGTATGAACCGGTGTATGTATGTACAGATGGATGTACCGGTGTATGTATGTACAGATGGATGTATCGGTGTATGTATGTACAGATGGATGTATGTATGTACCGATGGATCTATGTATGTACCGATGGATCTATGTATGTACAGATGGATGTATGTATGTACCGATGGATGTATGTATGTAGGTATGTATGTATGTAGGGTTGTATGTATGTAGGGATGTGTGTGTGTGTGTGTATGTATGTATGTATGTATGTATGTATGTATGTATGTATGTATGTATGTATGTATGTATGTATGTATGTATGTATGTATGTATGTATGTATGTATGTATGTATGTATGTATGTATGTATGTATGTATGTATGTATGTATGTATGTATGTATGTATGTATGTATGTATGTATGTATGTATGTATGTATGTATGTATGTATGTATGTATGTATGTATGTATGTATGTATGTATGTATGTATGTATGTATGTATGTATGTATGTATGTATGTACGTATGTATGTATGTACGTATGTATGTATGCATGCATGCATGTATATGTTCGCTTAAAAGTATGTAACAGGCAGGCACACACTTTTAAAACATATTTCAGTTTTTTTTCATCTTATTATTTGTTTCCCAATTTCTACCGATACTGCAGAAAATGTGTAAATTTCTCGTTCGCACTTCCACTAGCTGAGTAACGGGTATCTGATAGTCGGGCAACTCGACCATGCCATTCTATCTTGTTTTGTTTGTACTCTTGCAAAAGGATTTTAGGTGCATCTGAGTAAAGTCAGCAGCATTTGCGCCCCGTTATTAGTACTGAGGCAGAAGAAAGATTAATAAATTCCTTGGGTATCATCCCTTGACGTCATAATCACGGGCATTAGATGATTTAGTCGGATGCCAAGCAGAGCCAAATTAGGCGGGAGTTATTTGCCAAAGCGGGCTGTAAGTCTACAACCAACTCTAATCGGCTCCTAACTCAGCTGCCAAGCATCATGGACGGCCCACTTTCGCGGCGCGCTCCCAGAGCATAAAGTGCAATTATAGCGGTGCAGCGAGGAGCAGGGCCATGAAATACCAACACCCGACAGCTGTAAACAACAATTTGCCGGGCGGCCATAAGCGCATCGCGCATCGCGCATCTCGCATCTGAGACCAAATGCCAATAACTCGCCGTGCGAGAGCGCTTATAAAAAAGTTATTTAAAAGCCCAGCCAACTCGGCTGGAGTCCAAGAGCCAAACTCAAGCCAGGCCAAGCCAAACCAATCCAAGCCAACAATGGCAAATGATGATGAGACGTCCAGTCGTTCCAGGTTAAACGTTCAAAAAGTTAGACGCGCGGCCAAGGAGTCGACTTCACTCAAGTCGAGTTGTGGATTGTGGATGGAAGCTTGAATGAAAATACCTCGAACAGGAGAAGCGAACGTAATGAGCAAATTTATGGCCAATTGATAATTTAGAGGCACTCGGTATCATCAATAATGGAGCGAACCGCTGCGGCTCTGGATCGAAGATGAGGCATTGTTATTGGGACCAATGTGGCGCAAATTGTACTAAATGTTTTTCGGCAGACCCTACGCACTCGCACATGAAATATATTTATGTGAGCATCTTAAGGGGCCCTGGGCCATATTTTATACAATTCGACTGTCAACCGAAGAACTGGGTCAGAGGTTCGTTTCGAGTTGGAAATCTCGCAGCGCTTTTGTTGTCTAGGCCTTCTTGCGCCGCAATTTAAGTCGCTAATTGAACGCTTTGTCTGACACATCGAATAAATCACAAGATTGCCAGCTTGCACCTTGCAGCCCAGTCGACGGAGGTCTGAACCTGAAAGCGAACCCGAATCCGAGCAGCGTCCACCAACTGCACGTCGCCATGTTTATGCCAATAATATGCCATAAAATATAGAAAGAAGCCGGCACAATGGAGCACTGTGCACATGGGGTCCCCATACAACTGGCTGCCGAGGAGCGGCTTCCTCTGATAAACTTTATGACATCGAGAGGGAAGTGGAAGTGCAGCCACTTTGTCAGCGGGCATCCGCCAGTTCCTGCTCCCTGGTCCCGGGTCCCTGGTCCGTGGTCCTCCGAGCCCGTCCTTGAGCACGGCGCTAAAGTTTAAGCATTGCCCGAACTTTACGCACAACTTGCACACATAATTTACGTCCCATGCTCTGCTTCTCTGCGTAATTATTGGCCAGGAGCAGGGGTCTGGATGTCGAAGAAGTTCGGGCCGAGCTGGGCATGGGTTGTACTCGTATGTGAGTGCATTAGAGGCGACCACAAATTGTTTGCTTTGCTTTGGTTTAGCGCAAATTGTAGTCATAACTTCTGCTCCGGCTGCCGTCAGTGGAACAATCGGGCTTATGATGGCTCAAATGCACCCCGTTTGGCGGACGGAATCTGGGAAAGGTTAACTGGTCTCGTACTCCTCTCTATTAGGCGTCATTCGTAATCAATCCCCTACAAATACCAGCATACCACTATCCTATGCCTAAACATAGTTGTACGTTTTTAAGTGATAATATCACATATCTAAAATAATTACGAACCATTTACGTATGGCCAATAGCGTTACCACCTCAGCCAAGTGCAGGGCGTATCCATAAGCAGATTGGCCCATTAGAAAGCCCTCCTCGACGGACGAGTCTGTTTGAGAACGCAACTGCCGCAAATCCCACATCAATCAAATTGCCCGTTGCCCTAACAACACTAACATATTAACAACTAATGTATCAACAAAAGCTTTGTGTGTGTATTGCGGGTGCAGCCGAGGCAAATTAAGCCCGGCTTAAGTAACCGCTAAGCACAATGGTGCACAGCACATGGAAGCTATATTGGCCATTAATCGCCCAAGTCAATCGGAGCAGGGCTGCGGACTTCAACCTTTAAAGTGAAAGCTAGAGATCGTAAAATGTAGATGTTCTATGCGAGTATGTCTATATGGGCTTATTAAAACTGTTACTTTTCGTCCAAGGGAGAATCATTTTGTTACGGGCAAGTTCTATGGTATTTTCAACCGGCGTTTCCCGTTTATTACTGGATGCAAATGCCTTGCATGCAGCATATAATAACGTGCCACGCCCACCCAGCACTCATACATGCTCACCAGGACACCTGAGTCCTTGCTCAGGAATATAAGTTGTTATGGAACAGGGAGCGGGACTTGGCTTGGACCTGGACAAACTTCCGAGCCACCAGGATGTGTCCTTTGCCTTCTGCATTGATTTTGAATTTCCAAGGAAGTAGCGCGGAAACTTGTTAGTCGCCCATCCGCCCATCCGCCCATCCAGCCCCCATTTTACCCCTATCCACCCCACCCTTCCTGCCAACCCCACATAATTCGCTTTGCATGCAGTTTGCAGAAAAGCAGTGGAGACACGAGCCTGGCCCGGGCTATTACGCTGGCAAATTGCAATGTAATTAGTTTTTACATTTCTATATAGTCGGCGAACGTATAATTGTGGAAAATGGCATTTCTAGTTAATTAATGGCCTCCTGCCCTCGCCCCTCGCCCCTCGCCCCACGCCCCCTGCAAATGCCAATTGCCCCGCAGCCCGGGAGGGCGAAAACTTTCTGCACATTTGTTGCCGCTTCTCGGCGTGTGCAGTCAACAAAAAAAGTGCACCTGCCACGCCCCCACCCGCCCAGTGTCAACCATTGGCAACTTTGCTTGAATTGCTTGAAAAATTTAATTAAAATGCTGGCATTTTGGAACCAGTCGCAAAAATATCATTCCCACCCACGCACCCACTGAATCAGGGGGAAATCCTGGCGGGAAATGCTCCCCGAAGTGCAGCAACTTCCACAGGTTGTTGATTAAATTACCAATATGTTTGATTCGAATTGGAAATTCAGTGTGCGAAAATGGGCACATCCTTTGTGCTGCCACTTAACTCAACCACTGAATCCATTAGTTAAACCTTACAATAGTATACAGAATTTGTACTTCAAAGAATAAAGTATTCTTATTTTAATTTATGGCAAAGAAAGCTTGCCTTCTACAGTTTTACGTTAATACAAAGAAACGTCCAAAATGTTGCATTCAACTAAACAACCTAATTCAGAGGAGTTGGGTCGGGAAATGCGTAACTGCGCTTCGAGCCAAGTGGTTTTAGCGGAATCGGCTCCGAGAAGAAGAATGTTCGCAATGGCATCCTGCCCGAATTCTTTCTAAATGACATTTGTGTTTCCTCCAGCTCTTGAATATTGTCCATTCGAGGATTATTGAGTACTTTCCGGTACTTTCTGTACATCATTTCTTTCTGATTGAGAAAAGCGTACAGACGACGGCGTTTCAAGATCTTCGACTCTGTGGACCCCGAGCAAGTTTCCCTTTCCCTACTCTTGTTGACTTCTGAAGCGAGCAACCTGGCCAAGTTGAAATGGTCCGAAACGCGAATGATGCCTGCACTACCGCCGAAGGTAGTGCCTCCCTGGTAAAATGGCGAGCTTAACGTGAAACGTGTCCTAGTCCCGGAGGATATTGGAGGATGCTCGTTGTTTGGGTCGCTGGGAGCGGCGTCGCTCTTCTCCTCCAAATCCTTCGGCTTCATCTGCGCTAGCTTTTAGAAGGAGAATAATAAGCAACCCAATGTTACGCAGTTCTACGAAAAAAATAATTTGAATTTGAAATATTTAAGCTTGCTATAACGAATTGTGAAGTTATGTGAACAAATTTGTACTTTTTCCTTTAGATTTCAAAGGCAACTAGGTAAGTCACCAACAAATGTCCAAATTTCAGACTGTATAGATAGAAAATTAGGCGTAGTTTTTGTTTAGATAAGAGAACTAAAAAATAAAAATTAGCATTCAATGAACAATTAGGGTTTCCAGTGCGGCAATTTCGTATATTGTGCTGAAGTTAAACTAAAATGAAATAAATTAAAATTAAATAAAATTGAAAGTAGAAACCAAAGTGACTTGGCATTAAATGTCACTACAACTAATAAACATACACATCATTAATAGCTTGATAATGCACTTTCTAAAATTCGATAAAAGGCGTAATTTAACGCTGAAATATTTCATTCAGTGATAATAGTCCTGTTGTTTTATGACTCATACAAAAGTTGAGATGTGTTGCAATGTGAGCCGCCAACTATGTTGCATCTTTATAGGATTGCTGGCCATCACTGTGGGGTCCACCGATCTAGGATACCGAGCTCATCTGCTAGGTAAAAATGTGCCATATTATGCATTTCTATATCAGTTTATCTCGTAGACACATTTGGTTGGAATCTTTGGCTACTGCTGTCTGTTTTAGCCTGGGTGCCCATTATCTTGACAGCAGTTCTCCTGATTGTAGGCGCAATGAAGGCAGATAAGTGCTCAAAAAAAAGGGGACAAATTTTACCTTTTAGTATTTTTAGAAAATTCTTTCTCTTCTGGTGACTTGGATAACAGTCGTGCTGATTTTCGGAGTTGTTCAAATTTTTATAAAAATTGTTTTATTCACTCCACCCAAAAACATTCATCCACAAGACACGTACTATATTGTTTCTGGCGGCCTTATAATACTTCTTATACGTAAGTCAACTTAACAATTTTTTCAGCAGTATGTTAATGACAACTATTTCTCTTATTTATCAGTATTTGTATTTTCTTCCGCATACTACCCTTATGCATATAAACGGGAAATTGAAGAAGAGGAATTCGAATAAATTAAATGCTTAATTAAAATGGTCTTTTCCTAAACCATTTATTGTTATTACTATTTTCCTTTTTGTAAAACTCTTAGAGCTCTTGGTAATAAAATCGTTTACGTTATAGATATATGCATATATATATGTTTATATCCATTGCAAAATCGCATCTTTTATTTTTTGGATTTTGAAATTTTTATTCAGCATTTCATGGTCTCTGTGGAATGGAATGTTTTCGTATGTTAGTTTACTTTGAGTTTTATTTTTATTTTCAGCAGTTTCACATACTATATTCATTTATTATTTTTCTGTTATATATATAAATTTTTTAAAATCGTTTTTTCTTATGCTTATATTATCCATTTTTATTAATGCATTTTCTCTTATAGAATAATTTTTAGCCCTCTAGCCCACTTTTTCTCTAAAGCAGATTGCGTCTAGCAGTAGACGCTTCAATTGTAATAACGAGTGACTTGGATTTAAATGTCCAAAATAAATTATCAAATCAAATAAAATAACAATGTGCTTGAATGCGAACCAAAAGCCTTGTTGCGTCATAATTGCATTGTTTGCGATTTTGGTCGGGATTATAGAGTTTTCTTACGAGTGCTTTCATATAGGTAAGAATCATACCACTTTAAAACTACCAAATCTATATCTGCATTACATATATAGCCCTGTACGGAGTGAACAAATGGTTAGTGGCATCATTGATCACATGGATTCCCATTTTTATTGCTGCTTTTTTTCTGATTATAGGGGCACTCAGGGTAAGTGTTCGCTGGTCAAGGCAATCAATGGCTAATTTAAGATGCATATTTTTTCTAAAGGAAATACCCATTCTTTTGCTTATCTGGGTAACTGTGTCACTGATTTGCGGAGTTGTTTTGATTATTATAAAGGTTGGATTGATGATATACCTACATAGGCTTAGTATGAATGTAGATATTGTGGTCGCCATTTTGAATGTCATATTTTTATGTTAGTCAGTAGGAACTATAATTTTCAGCAGAATTCCCTATCAAACGAGCCTATTTTATTTTTCAGTGCTCGTCTTCATTTGGGCCGCCTACCCTTATGCATACATGCGTGAACTGAAGGGATAAAAATGATTTGATATTATCGCAGTGAAATTATCTACGCCTATTACGACGGCACAAGTATCGAAAGAGGTAGTGCTAAAGATGATTAACGAGTATTAAAAGAATATTTGTTGAAACATGTATAATGTTACTTTATGTTCTAAAGTTACCAGAGGTCTGTTTATGTACTTTAGCGACGATCAACAAACGTAAAGCTACGTTTGTCTGTCGGCTTTTACTGAAAATCAACATACCGACTTTGCGATATTCCGACTGTTGCATGACTTCGGTTTTTTATTCAACAAATAGCAGCCAGTGACCAGGGGATGTGAATTTGCATAAAATAACAGAGGCAATAACAATGGGTGACAACAAATCAAATGCAAATGGTAAACCGACCGCAAATAGAAAGTGAAAATCAAATACAAAACGCTACCGTTTATTTCTGTGCTTTCGTATCTCTGTGTTTTCTGGCCGATTTTTTGGGTCTTTTGCGTTCATTTGTCGGGCGTCTAATTTAAATAAACATTTGTTTGCACAAAGGCTTTAATACGTTTGGCAAATGACTTCCTGAATTGGGTGCTGCATATACCAGGGCACCAGCCCCACTGCTGGCTATTCGAATTGCATAATCGGTGAGACAAATGCCGTGGATTATGAAATCCTTCGCTCACAGCCTGCAAGCCCAGCAGAAAACACGGGCACAGCGGAGACGCCACCGAGCTGTGCAGCAACCTGTCGCATATTTAAAGCGATTAACGGCACGATTTCAGACGCTGCCTGCCAGCAGCACAGCAGCAATATCGCAACAGCAACAGCAACATTGCAGCAAGAAAAGCGCAGCAGCAACACGGTGGCAAAAAATTGAAATTGAAATGCTTTTGGCAGTGCCAACACTCTGTGGCCCGATGTTGGCCAACAATGCTCGAGTAGGGGTATTCCCAGTTTGGTAATCCTTATCAGAATGTAATGGTCGCATGGATACTGAAAAAAATAAAATATAGAATTCAAAAATAAGCCCTTACTGGTTAGGGGATAACATTGTATTAAAACAATGTAAGCAGCAAGTCTTAAATAAATTGATTTCAAATTCGATTTTACGCTTTCGGTTCAGTAAGAGAACATATTTACACTTTTTATATTTTAAGCTTCCAGGCATAATAGAGTAATCCAATTTAACGATTTCTGGCACTCCCTGCTTTTTAAGGTGTAATTCGTGTCTAAAGTGGATAAAAAACGTTTGTAAATACCTACAAAGCATTTCCAGCAATGAAACAAATACAAAATAGGCACCGCGGCCACTGCAATTGGCAAACTGTGAAAAATAAAATAATATATTGTGAACAATACTTGCATACTTGGCCAAAACCCATTGTTGCTGCGAATTCCCCCTCCATTCCATATAGTTCCACAATGAATGACCTATAAATAAAGTTGGTAGCCGAGCAACTGAGCCCAGAAATGGCAAACTGCGTGAATTGTGAACAAATAAATAATGTGAATATAACAACCACAGGAGCCAGATTTTCAATTGCTTTTCTATCCCCTTTGATTTTCCATTATCGTTGCTCTGCCTCGCCCACTCTTGACTCTTGACCTTACCAGTTTTATTTACAAGTGGCTCCCAAATGGAAAGCACAGTTTGTATGTATAGTAATTACGGGTGGCCAGAGCGCCAATGAAAATTATTAAATTTCCTTTACCTACGCGTTTATGTTTATGTGTTGGAAACTTTTGTTACTCCATCGCTGTCCAAAACAAATCTGCACAATTCACCTTACAATCTCTTGAGTTCCTGCTCTGCGGTATAGAATTCCTTACTCACTATCGCCCAGTGACCCCGGGCATTCGGAGCGTCCAAATAGCAAAAGCTTTTATCAGCTCCGATTACACACTTTAAGCACGAAAACAAAATTGTCACTTTAAATGCAGTGCAGAAGAACAGAAGGCGGCCTCAAGTGGATGGACACCTGAGCGGATGAGTGCTGTGGTTGCTCCACCGCAACATTGTTGGTAGAAAACCACCGTAACCCAAGCCAAGAGGCAGCTGGTAACCCGCCCAGGACAACCAGGACATCCAGGACATCCAGGATATCCAGGACATCCAGCGAGCGTAAGCTAACTCAACTTAAATAAATTTAATTTAATTACCAGTAAAAACCGCATGAGTAACTTCAGCCCGGGATGAGAACATTGCAGAGCGGAGCGGAGCAGACGTCGTTATCCGGCGAACTGAGATGCCAAGTGGAAGAGAAGCACCTGGCGGGTGGGTATATTTAGGAAATAACATTTTTGTGGCAACACATTTTTGGATTTTATTACGGGCCGTGTCAGGATGCTGAGTGCTTCCCACTCTCGGCTGCTCCGTTGAGGTCAACATGCATTTTATCATTTTAAATAGCAAAATGTGGAAGAGCAGCAAAGTAGGAGGGCAGCAGCTGGAGGGCACTCGACACTCGGCGATAAATAACCTTAATGTAGTGCCGGGTTACATGTTTAATTACAAGCTGCAGAATCTCAAAGCATACTTTCGGGCGGCGCTGAAAAAAGTGCTCGTGAAAGTGTAGTAGAAAAACGGGCTGTATCTGTGTGCCCGTGCTATCGTCACAGTGCGTGTGTGTGTGTGGGACAAGGTCAAGTCGTCACTACTCCCGATTATAATGCAAATTGGCCTCGCAGTGGCAAATACTTGAGCAGTGCCACCGAGGTCCTTGAGACGCCTTACACACTTACACACACTGGCACACATACACCTATACAGTGGGCGAAAGGGAAAATCAGAGGACTAAGCTGTATGCGCACATACTCATGAGTAGAATGAATTTAGCCAAGGACTTGAGCTAAGTTACCTAAGAGCGCTGCAAAAAATACTGCGTTTTCTAAGAGCATATGCTTTAAAAAATGAAACTCAATTTGAATTCTGCTTGCTTACAAATATTTATAGCCTTTCAGTATAGCTTTGAACTTAAATTCAGCGGATGACAGCCATATTAAAGCCAAATCCTTACTGTTCTTTTGTGTAATCCGGCCAAGTCGCCGCTTTAATGCATTGCATCGCGTCGTTTACCAGTCCAGCCTTGGGAAAATCCGTTCATCGCTGCCCCGCCCTCGTGATCCGTTGCCTGGTAACCTAGTTTAATAAATAAATCGCAGTTTTTTGGTGCCTGCGATCCGAGTCCCTCCCCCAGGACTCCTGTGTCTTTTTGTCTTCGGCAAGTCATTCATGTGTGCAATCTGTGGGTGTGACTAATTCAATTACAACGCCCAATTGTGCATGCCTCGGCGCCCGTCTCTGCCCCACCCCGCGTCCTTCGCGTCCTTCCACCTACCCCCGCCCGCCCCGCCCGCCCCGCCTCTGCAGCGTGATTTTTCATTTCGTTTTCACGCTTTCGCCGTGCATGCAGGTATTATTCGGTATGGGAACTGTGAACGAGCATTACTTGGGCTTTGGGTTGTTTGGATTGTCGCCTGCGACTCCGACTCCAAATCCGAATCCGAGCCACAGCCCACTCCCTGATTTCTATGCAGCGGGACATTCACGTTTCGTGTCGCCCCGGGACTTAATTGTTTTTTGTCACACGAGTTATCCTTTTTGGGGCGTATCATGTTCAAAATTGAAATTAACTGACACAGCGGCGGTGGTTGGGTAATGAACATGATTTGTGCAGTGCGAAATTCTGGGTGGGAGTCGCAGAATTTGTATGCCTTTCAGTCACTCGCAGGGCAAATAGCCCGACGAAGGGCTGGGAACCTAAGTAAACAACAGTGGTTGGGCCTTTGACAGTCACGAAATGGGATTTGTTACACAAACATTGTCCAAAAACAGAGAAGAGAAAAATCCGTACGACACTAGCAATATTGGCAACGTCAATCAACTGGAAAACCATTAACTAATAGTGCATTACTACTGCGACTACCGAACCCAGCTCGCACTGTACCAATGGTAGTTGCTGCGGAAAAGCCTCCGGCTGAGCAAGAAGAAGACCGGTGGCAACACCTTCGAAAAACCCATTTTCCTGGGAGCCGTCGCTGCTGGCACTTCCCCATCATCATCGTCATTATGGGAATGCCTCCTGGTGGGACTATCGGCGGCCCAGCATCTTGATGATCGGAGCAGGAACCAGAGCCATTGCGAAACGTGATTTGTAGGGTCATCATTCAAAAGGCATCGACTACAAGCGCGCCGAGATCCCATCCCAGGCCGAAGCAGTCGCTGCGAAGGAGTCGCTATCCCTGACCAGGCTGGGCCAGAAATCCAGATGCCCGACGATTCCGAGCAGCAGCCGAAAAGAAAATTAAAATGGTTATACATTCATGTAATTTAACGAAATTCAATTGAATGCCAAGTCACAACAACTGCCCGACCAGGGGCCAAACTAAACTAAAGCGCACTAAGCCGAACTCCCAGCTCAGGTCGCATCTGAGCTTACAGAGAGCGAAATAGGGGGAACTTCTGATCTACTCAGAAGTAAATAAGGGAATATTGATGTTTTAAAACGCCTGGCAAGTGCTGAACAATAGCACAAGTTCAGTTCCCCATTCATTTGCAGGGAACCAAGAACTCTGTACCGATTTCTCCCAGTGCGGATGCGCTGTCTGCGCCGATATTGCCGATGCCAAGCGTGAGATTATCGGCGATTGTATGCAGCGATGATGATGCTGATGAGGATGAGGATGAGACCGCGGCCGGGACTGCAGTTTTGGCCAGGCCGAAACCTGGGCCGCCTGGCCCATGGCTCCCGTAAGTTGGCAGTGCACTCGAGTGCCGGCTGCAGTCAAGTTCACTTTTCATGCCGGATAAGGAGGAGATGGTGGGCTGGTGTGGGGATCGGATCTCAGACCGCAGTGGCAGTCATTGACTTGGGTTATCGCACGCCAAAAACGACAAAACAGTTGCATGCCCATGCCCAAGCCCAAGCCCAAGTCCAATCCCAAGCCCATAGCCCAGAACCTTGGCTAACTTGGAGTCCCAGGGCCCAGCGCTATCTGCATGCGATCAAATTTCCTGGGCTTCTGTTGCGGCGAGGCGGCGGTGATCATATTG